GAACCAGTGAATGGTTGGCATCGTATCGTCCTCAGGAATAACTGGTACATCAAAGAGCACAGACCAGGAACAGAGATTTGCTACGGTTATGTGCCTAAGGACTTCATCAAGTAGGACTCGTCTTCGTTCCCTCTCTGGAGGAAATTCATATCCAAGTGTCGTGATTGGTTCACATGTTTCTGAGTCGTCATCAAGTCACATGACTCACTTACTCATCTTCGGAGATATTTGACAAGCAACTGGAATCCTATTGGATGGCTATGACTCATTTTCATCACCTGACTCACTCGCTTCTTGGCTGTACTTCTATTTCCAATTGTTCCACATGGTCTATTGTCTGTGACTCACTTCTATTCTATTTCTGGCATCTATTTCCGATTCGCTGCCACATTTCTATTCATTTCTTCGACCACCTGACTCATTTTTCCATTTCCTTACAAACCACCATCCTATTTTGGTTTTCTGCCTCTCGCCATTAGTCATTTCTCCTGTCTGCTGTCGACGACATCCTTGTATGGCATACTCGCATCGTTTTTTGTTCTGCTCATGTATATAAGGCCTGTTTCGCCTTAGTGTACCCCAATTCACCTCTTTCAGTTGGATTCACTCATCTAAGTCTAAGTCCAAGTCTACTACTGTGTCTACTACTTCTACATCCACGTCAAGGCCAGCTTTGTCAATCACGTGACATTTGCTGTTGTATCTCGTCTATGCTTACATCAGCGTATTACCTCATCATCTTCATCACTGCTACGTCTTCATCTTCGTCTTCGTTCTACCTTTGTTGCTGCTGATAGCAAAGCGCACTGAGCCAAACACCAGTGTAAGTAGCTGTGCAACGACGACACCGCTACCCACTGTCTTTTGGATTCATTTCCGAAAGTAAACTGACAACGCGTTTGTATGGGCTCTCTGGATGAAGCACGTGACTTGAACACGCAGCCTACGCATTGCCTTGAAAGCTTTGTGCTCCTCAAGCACAAAGTTCATCCTTTCTCCTTTGTCTATAGTCCACATTGCTTCAGTATATATAGCCCTTACCATGTCTCATCATTCTTCACGTCTCAGTCTCTCACATTGCGCACTTGATAGTCTTTAAAGACTTTGAGTTGCTTTCTTCTGTTTTGCACCCACCCATGCCTCTTTCCCTTCTCTCTCATGCTTGCCCCCGCTCATGTATTTTCGCTTCTGCCAGCTTGAGCACGGCCCATTTTTCCCTCCAGGTTTCACAAGAGAGCGGTGGTGACGCAATAGACTTCTTGCTAGCCATTCACACATGAAAGGACAGAGATAGTGTGTCGTGAGCACATCACGTGCCTGTGGCTCGTGTAACACCACACCCCTTTACCACCGGCGATGGATGACAAGAGGATTTTCTCTGTTTCTTGTGCGTGATGGGCAAGCAAGGGTCTATTCCGTCACCACCGCTCTCTTGCATGACCAGGATGAAACTGGGCCATGCTCAAGCCGGTGGAAGTGAATTACATGAGCGAACGAGCACGTAAGAAGAGGGAAGAGGTATAGGTGGGTGCAAAAGAAAAGCAACTCGAAGTCTTGATGACTATCAAGTGCGAGATGTGAGGAGAGCAAGACGTGAAAGGCAAGAGACTATGTACCTATCGAGTGTGAGATGTGAGGAGAGCGAGATGTGAGGAGCAGACTAGTGAGACTGAGACACATATATGTAGGACAAGTGGAATAAAGGAAACTAGGGAACATAGGAAGAAAGACAAAGAAAAGCGATGGCTTGTATGACGTGCGCACGTGTGTAGTATGATCACGTGCCTCATCCAGAGAACCCAGACAAATGAGATTTGTCCAAACTATCTCTGTTTCTCGTGCGTGATGGGCAAGCAAGGGTCTATTGCGTCGCCACCACTCTCTTGCACAACCAGGATGAAACTGGGCCATGCTCAAGCCATGCAGGGAGTGACGAGAAGAGCCGGAGGCTCAAAATGCGGAGCATCGGGAACGGCCCAATGAAGACAGGAAGAGAGATTGAGGAGGTGCAAGCGGGATGCGTCTATATAGAGCTTGTAAGCATCACTGCGCCAGCACCCTAGTTGTTGAATTTCATATTTGGTGAATCCAGCTTGAGCAGCTGATCAGGTGGCTCCCCTGCGGAAGGAATGTTCGGAGTACTTGGATGGTTCAAATCCTGTGGAGGCAAGGAGTGCATGGAGCTTGGTGGAGAAGATGGAGTACTGGAGTGGGGTGCCATCAGTGTTGCAGAAGAGGGGTGCATTGGGTTACCTAGGGTCACTGCGAAAGAGGTCTTGTAATGCTTTGATGGCGCAGGTGGGGGCATTGACAGCTGCGATGTATATTGTAACACCTTTCCTGAATGGATCAGTTTTTGATGTGGGAAGTGTGACACTGATGTGGCTGGGAGCATCAATGGATGGGAAAAAGGATATTGAACTTCTAGTGAGGTGGACGGATGGATCAAAGGCTTTATACTTTTCTCCTTTTACCGTGAATTCTCCCGAATGCATGAAGCCAGCAAAGGCTAGCTTGATGGCGGCATCAATGTTAGCATTGTCAAGGGAGGAGGATGGGTTTGAGATATTGACAAGTATTTGGAGGATATCAAGGGTGATAGGGGCTGTAGGGTTTCTTGCTCTGTCACCAAAATATCCTTTGATTCCTCTGATAATGCGCTGGGTGAGTGGTGATTCGATGGTATCGAAGGGGAGGTCAGCATCAACATGAAGGGACTTGACGTGTCCGAGGTATGCTTTGATGGTTGATGCAAGCGGTTTCTTTGAGTAGCCAAGGTGGGCAACCCACTCAAGGATGGCGGTGCTGCTGGCAGGGAGGTAGGAGCCATCATGGTTGAGAAATTGAGGATTGAGTGAGACAAAGTTGATAAATGACCACTGGCCTGTGTTGTAGGTTTTTTTGGTGCTGGAGGCAAGGCCATGCCAGAGGAAGAATGCCATTTTTGGTGAGAGGTTAGCATGGATTTGATACCAACGGTCTGGGGGTTGGTCAAGCAGCTCTGGCGTGGCAAGTAGGGGGCCAGTGCAAATAAACGAGCATATTCAAAATGAGAAGCAGCATCAGCGAGCGCGTTCAACTCAGAAGGAAGCCAAGAAGAAGAGAAAGAAAATTCAAGTTAAGCAGCTAGCATGACAATCGTGTGCACAACGGACATCGTGAATCAAGAGCGATTAGTCTCCTTCGTGAGTGCCGTCACAATGACGGAATTGTCAATGTGAAACGTGACATGGTGATGTTTCCAGAGGTGGCCCCAACGTAATATAGCTTGTAAAACAGCGTAGATTTATTTGAACTGTATGCCACGCTGTCTAAACCGGCGAGGAACTTGTGAAGAGAACCATTGGCCTTCAAAGACTCTGCCAAGCCCTTTCCGACCACTGGCATCAGTGTACACATGAATAGTTGGGTATGTGGGTGTGACAAGGCGTACACCATTCCATGTCAAGGAGAATGTGTGCCACCACCTCAAGTCAGCATAGGCATATGAGGGGATACGATGGCAAGTAAAGGAAGCAGAAAATGTAGTGGAGAAGTCTATAAGCCGGTGAATAAAGGCACGAGAGTGTGGAATGACTTGTGATGCAAATTGCAGGAAACCAATCAGTTCCTGAAGGCTCCAGAGGGTGATTGAGGGCGATGCCAGTGAGTTATTGAGGATTTATTGCAGATAAGAGAGCTTATCAGCAGGGAGATGAGCCTCCATTGAAATTGTGTCAATTTCAAGGCCTAGATACTCGAGGCAAGTGCAAGGCCTAATGGTCTTTTCGTGCTGAAAGTGAAGACCAAGTTGGGTACCGAGACCCATACACCAGTCAATAGCAGCATTGGCTGTGGCTAGTGGCATTTCTGGATGAAACACTGTCAGAAAATCATCCAAATAATGGCGGAGACCACCAGGGAGATGGCGGTGGATAATCCAGTGAAGAGCTTCGGCAAATAGGTTAAAAATATAAGGTGCTGACTTAAGGCCAAAAGTAAGGACAATGGCATAGTAAAACTTGTCTTCCCAGTGAAAACCAAGCAAGTGCCATTGCGAAGGGGCGACAGGAATGTGATGGAAAGCCTCTTTGAGATCAAGCTTAGCTAGCAGTGTGCTTTGCCCAAAAGAACAGACAAGTTGCACCGCACTCTCAAAAGCTTCATATTTGATGTGCCCTTCAGAATCTGGGATACCATCATTTACCAAATTGTCATGGGGTCAAGACAAATGATTAATTAGCCGCTGTTTGGGGTTGCATTTGCGTGTGACTGTGCCAAGGGGGGGAGGACCGAAAATGTGGAAGTGGAGGGGACTTGAAGGGTCCATGTGCGTGAAAACTGTCCAGAAGTTTCTGAATTGTCGCTGAAACAGCAGCTGGGGCTTCAAATGCCGATTTGAGGTTGGAGCAGGATTGGGGATGATCAGATCCAGTAAAGTCAAGTAGGGCACCATAGTCTATTATGTGAAGTAATGAATCTACAAAGAAGCGGTCTGGGTAATCACGAAGATGAAACTCCCAGGCATCTTTAACAAGAGCTGAATTGACTCGAGGAAGCAGTTCTGGTAATGGGGGAGGTGCATTACAATGGGGATCCGTATTGGGACGTGCGGGTGGAGGTGGCCTTATGGGGAATAAGTGGGAATAAGGTAGGGGTGTGAACATATGTGGAGGTAGTTTGTGCAGGGGAGGGAATGGCTTCAGAGACAAATATGATGGAGACGGTGATTCAAGAGGGCCAGGACAGGTAGAGTGGACCTGATGCTCGCCCAGCAGGCTCGGGCAAGGGGTGGACGAGAGAGAAAGATCCCTCGCCATGCCTGGGTCCTAGGTTGACTTTTTTCCTGATGGACATGAGGCCTGCCCATGTTCAGCACTGTCACATGCTTTACATTTATGAATGTGAGCACATTTGGAGCGCGTGCATTGCCTGTAGTTGAAATCATTGCACATTTGTTTTGAGATGTCATTGGGTTTTGAAGTATTGGTCTTGTCCTTGAAAGTGCATACCCAGGGGTGCCCGATCAAATGACGATTGACTAGCATACCATCAACTTCACCCCATTTAGAGTAATCACCTTGTGACATCTCTACAAGTCATCTCACATGAACTGCAAAGTGGTAATCTAGAACCACTGCCCACTCATACTCCAAGTATACTGTGTAGAGCGAGTGCAGATACTCGTTACATCCAAAAACGAATTGTTTACTCGCAAAGATGTTTCCACTTGACAGAACCTGCATCTGAAGAATGCTGAAATAACGAAGAAGAGGATAATAAAGCGATCCCCAAGATGGGTAATCCTTGGGTGAGGGTTCTTTCTCATGTTGTACTAATGAGCCATTTCTCAAACTCCAGAGTAGTACCAACAGGTTTTTCCCAGATGCGCATGTCCAGTTTAAAGAGAAGGGATGGCCTCAATGTGTGACGCCCGATTGCCAGTAGCGTAGCCTCCTCAATGTCGGGAAAAAAAGATTGAAAGGATGATGTACCGGCACCAGTGTTTCCAGTAGGCAGCAGCATAAAACTGTGGGATTGGGCAGTCATTTGCTTCTGTGGTGGAACAAAGCCGGATGATTGTGCTTGGGGAAGAGGCTGATGCTGCAATATGAGATGTGATGGTTGGGAATGCATAGGAAGGGGTGCAGTTTGTTGACAGGTGTTCTGAGGTGAGAATGATGGCAGAGCTCCACAGATTTGCCTGAGCAATTTCTGACTGTCTTCATGCTGAATGCGCAATTGCTCCTGAAGCTCTGTTTGCTGTGCAGCTAGCGCAGATTGTTGCAGGCACTGCCCCTGAAGTAGGGCACCTAGTGCTTCTGCAAGGAACTTCAATGCAGAGGACTCTTCATGGGGAGCAGGAGCAGTCTCTTTCACAACCAAAGCTGGCGTGCCGTCTGACGGAAGTTGGGAGGTACCATCATCAGGTGATATCTGCTTGAATGGAGACGTGGGACGAGGAGATGAGGAATTGGAAGGCCCTGGTGTAGATACCGAGTTTGCTGCACGTTTTGCATTGCGAGTCTTTGTGTTTGTTGGAGGACAAGGCACTGCTGTTTGCTTGCGTCCAAAAGTGGACATGCACAGCTATAGATTAACTGCAAAAGAAAAGCAACTCAAAGTCTTGATGACTATCGAGTGCGAGATGTGAGGAGTGGACTAGTGAGACTGAGACACATATATGTAGGACAAGTGGAATAAAGGAAACTAGGGAACATAGGAAGAAAGACAAAGAAAAGCGATGGCTTGTACGACATGCGTGCGTGTGTAGTATGATCACGTGCCTCATCCAGAGAACCTGGACAAGTGAGATTTGTCTGAACTAGCACCACACATTCTGGCTGTTAGTAGACGCAAGCACAACTCGAAGATTATGCCATCAATTTTGACTATCAGGACGTGAAAACATTTTTTGAGGTCAACACTATGCCTGAGCCTGGGGTCAATCCACAGATCATGGCGCCATCTCTCGCTGATTGTTAGGAACATGTGCCAGATTCGACGTCAGACTGTTAGGGTTCGCCGGATTTGGCATCAGGGTCGGATTTGGTCAGAGCTCTCCTTGACCGAGGTCGGTAGTCGCAATATTCGGAAATGTGCAGAAATACTGGGTGACTCAGAAGTCAGAGATCCAAAGACTGATCGACATGGGTGTTGGCTTCAACTTATGGGTTGCACCCTCTTGGATTTCTAGTGCCCTGGTATTTCGGACTGAAGACCAGAGTGTTATCAGGTTTCCAATTGGTCGGGTCTATTTGGAAGGTCAGTGCCAATGATGTGTTGAGACTTATCGGAAATGAGCGGGGGCTTCGGGTATTCAGGGATGGAATGGTTAATGCAGGAAGGTAGGAGTAGCAATAAATCAATACTGAGTAAAGACTAGCTTTTCTGGGAGGCGAGTGTAATCAAGGAGGGTTTGAGATGTCGGATGAAGTAGGGTCGGAATGATCAGAATACCGAACAAGGTTTGAAGGCCTTATTACAGGTGGGAGTTTGGAGCAAACAAAGTGTAGTAATAGAGGGTGGTACGAAAGATAGTGATACGAAGTAGTGAAGCAATATGATGTGATACAATAGGATGTGATACGATACGATATGATAACACGATTTACAAGCTAAAGAAGCTTGACAAAGAGAAAATATATTTAAGACATGTGGGATTCCAAAATCAGGAATAGAAGATAAGGGTGCATGATACGGAGTTCCGAAATCAGAGCGAATACAGGAATCGAGATAAGACGTACAGAGATAATATCAAGATAGAGCCGTGACTAAGAATAATAATGGGGACATGTCGGAAATAAGCAGAAAGGCTTATCGGAGTATGTGAAACATCGGAATAACACGGGTCAGATCTGGGATCTAACACTGATATCACAGATCATAATATTTACAATGTGGTCATGAGTATGGAGTGGGCTGTTTGAAGATTCCAGAGAGTAGTCAGCGTTCAATGATTTCACAGTGGAATTGCTTCATTTGTTCGATTACAACAGCAAAGGTCGAATCTTCTGCATGAGGAAGGACCTCCCACTCCTCATGTGTGGAGAATCAATGAAGGTGAAACCCAATCTCTGTATCACTGACACAGACCAATGTATTATCCTTCTCGTTGAAGAACAAAAAAGCTGCAGCAATGTCGAAGCCCGTGCCCAACTAGTTGCTGAGGCCATTGCTTGCTTCGCATATAACAATGAATGCAGACAACATGCTCAACTTCCGGAGCTGTCACACATGGTATGTTGATCATTTTGATTGGTTATTCGAGTGCTGACTCTGACAGGTAATTCCCGGTGTGACATTGGTTGGGACGTCACCCAACTGTTTGTCATGGTGTTGCCCCAAAGGAGAAGACCATCATTCCATCCCACAGGCCTGAAGTCCCGAGGCCAGGCCGTTTCAACGAGGAGGGCATGTATCCTCTTGACAACTGTCGGGTCATTTTGCAATGTTATGAAGTTTTCAAACAATTTCTTTGACCATACATGAATTGTTCCTACCCCCCTCCCGAGCTCTTGTGTAGTCCAGTCCCAAATGTAACAATTTGACTGATCAATACAAATTTTGATAGCATTGGGGGGAAAAAAATAACTATAGCGTACATGATAACAATGACGGCAACGACATGCTCATGCATGACGAGCCGATGACAACATACTCATGCACGACGAACCGACCATGTTAGATCTGGAATGATCTGTGGGTTGGCGAGCCAACCAACCAGCAGGCATTGTGTGATTCATTTAGGGTCATTATAAACAGCCTATCTATTCTAAAGGTATGGAAACATGGCACAGTATAGTGACCAAACCTTGTTTCTCAGGCCAAAATATTTGTAGAATTAACCATAGTACAGGAGCCCCACAGGCTGCGAAACATCAAACTAGTTGGGCCTACAGCCCCAGTTGCTCCAGCTAAGCTAATAGTGTAATGTAGGTGCCTCAGGTGCAATATTTGAAATGACTACTGAGGAAGCTGTTCTGGGGAGGCCTGTGGTCAATTTTTTTCTACAACACATCTTTTCACCGTGCCTCTCAGGCATGCCCATACGACCGCCCAAGCAATTTTCAATGCCCAGTCCAAACCTCACCCAGCATTTATTGTCTCTCCTGATCTTCATGAGCAGCACTTTGGCATCGCAGAGGGTGAGTCTTGGTCCATGAGCAAGACCACCCTTGATATTGAATGCAAGACAGCTCAGATGGGCGCTTAGAGGTTGCACAGTCTAAGCTGCCACTATCTTATAAGAGAGGGTACCAGATACAAACACATGCAAGCCTGAGCACCTCACAAGAAGAACAACAAATAAAGGGAAAACCTCATCTGGCAAATTGTGGAGTTAAAAAAAGAAAAAAGTCAGAAGTTTGTAACAACTATAAAATATAAGAAATAGAAACATACAACACCCTACAACACCGCATAATATCTAGCACGGTTCATTACATGTATTCCTCTTCGTCCATGTCGTCCAAGAGCCAGTGCGCCGCGATCTGAGCCCGTAAGGGCCACTGCACCAAGATCTGAGTCTGTTCCTCCAACTCGGTCGCCGCCAATCCATCCTCCTTCAGCTTCTTGCTGAGTGCCATGGCCCTTTCGTACTGCTCGACGGGGCACCCAGCCCTCCGGCCCGGAGCCGATCATGGCCCGCCACGCCTCCAGAGATTCATCCGCTTCTTGCTGTTCTGCATCCAGCTTCATCATCTCGCGTACATTATCGGGGTCGAACACGATAGGACACGGCGGGCCTCCCCCCGTGAGCGTCTTCCAGTTCTTTGTTGCTTGTATCAGCGCAACCTTCAGCGCGAAAGTTTCGCCCTCCCACGGGTCACTGGCGTGGCAGAAGAGGCGGCGGCGAAGCACGCCCATGGGGTCCGTCAATGCCGCGTAATGAAGCTCGTTGTACTCCTCCGTGTTTTTGACGTAGTGGTAATGGACGAGGCGGCGACGGTAGAGTTCCATCTCTCCGCTTTGCTGGGTTTTATCCAAGTCATCCAACTTCTCCGGTAGCGAAGGCCGCGTCATAGATTGCCAGCCAGTATCATCGTAGTTCTGTAACTGTTGAGGTATACTGCTAAGGAGAAACAGGGGGAGGATCGAGGTGTGTTGCCAGTCGATCAGGCCGACGACCTGCAAGTTAGAGTCGGGCGACCTAGAAATGATGATATTGCTCGGCTGGAGGTCGGGATGGCGGATGCGGAAGTGACCGAGAGCTGGGTTCCTAGGTATGAGTGACGACGCGATGAGGAGATGGCGGTCCAGGTTCTCGATGTGATCTGACGGCGGCTGCTCCTGGTAATTGTAAGCTTCCCTCCTTAAGCGCTGGAACGGCAACAGCGGTCGACCGAACCGCCGTAAATAAGCTAGTTCCTTTTCGGCCCCTCTTACAAGGGCTACTTCGGCACTTTCGTCTACAGTTATTAAGGGAGTAATAAATAAAAAAAGGCAGGGAGCGGCCTACATGGTCCTCGATCTAAGTCGAGCTGTGATCTCCTGCCATACCATAGACGCAGACTTGTATTTGGGCCGACGCAGAAACGCTTGTCCTCTAGTGTGATGCCTGGCCTAATAGGCGAAGAGGTGCTCCCGGCTGTATTCTCCAAGTCTTCAGTATTTCAGCAAGTTGGCGTGAGATTGAAATGATTTCCCCTTCCCCTAGGTCAAACCATATGTCGCTTAAGTTGGTGCCTTGTACGAATTCCATGAGTATATACTCGGTCCCTGCCGCGTTGTTCGGCGTAGGTGAGTATCCGTATACCTCAGGTATAGGCAGCCCAAAGGAACGGACTAAGGCCATAGTTGCTACTTCACTAGCGACAGCAAAGTACTTGGGAATCGTAACCGGGTACGGGATACGCGCCACCATTTGGAAGCCACAGCGCATGGTAATGAGGAAGGTACGGTTAAACCCACCCTCGGCTAGTTTTTCCAGGCGGACGATATCATCAGGACTCCGATTGACGGCCTCCGCTGCAAGTCGACTTAGCTCATCGACCT